AGCAACATATGAAAACTACTTGCCTACATTGATAGATGTGACTGTATAAATTTCAAAACTTCTGTATAAGCAAAACACACCATCTAAGTCAAGAGACAAATGACAGACTTGGAGAAACAGATGCAAGACATGACAGATAAAGGATCACTAACATTTAAAAAAAAAAAGTCTAAAAATAAGTAAACCACCCGATAGAAAAATAGACAAATGAAAATGAACTAGCAAGAAAAAGGGTAATAAATACATGTAAAGACAGTCACCCTAACTAGAAATTGGGGAAATGTAAATTCATTCAACATCATTTCACAGCCTCAAACTGGCAAAAATGAAAAGCTTATATAGCTTCCAGTGCTTGTGAGTGTGTGCTGGCAGTATGAATTACTGTAACCTTTTGGAAAATGGAAAAATTTTGAAAAGTAACAGATTTTAAAATCTGTTAAATTATAAAATATGTATATCCTTTGTTCCAACAATCCCATATATAATTTACCCTAGTAAAGAAATGACATCAACGCATAATGAGTTAAATAGACATGTAAGGATGTTTCTTGTAACATTGTTTACAATACCAAGAAAAGAAAGAAACGGTAAAAAAATAAGTAAATAAGGAGAGTGGGGAAACAAAACTAATGTCTGTTATGAGCACAATGGCTTAATAACTCATGATACATGAATACTTTGGAATATCATACAGCTATTAATTAGAATAAGTCAAATTTATATGCAATGACTTGGACAGATGTCTATGATATTCAATGAATAAAAAGCTGCAAAATAATATGCATATCATGATCCCGTATTTGTTAAAAAAGAAAGATAAAAGAAAACTGTATTATGTGATACTAGAGTTTTATATTTTTTAAACTCCTATTTATACACTGAATTTCCCAAGCAGTCAATGAATACACCTTGGTTTTGAATATATCTATAACTCTATTACAGGTCTCACCATCAAAATACTGTACTCTTTCAAATCCAGGTGCACTAATGGCACTATGAGACAATACAACCTTTTGGAATCTTCTACAATGGAAAGGATAATAATAAAAACCATGTTAAAGGGCAAAATGTTTAATAGTTTTTTTATGCCAAAATAAAAATGTGTTTTAATGTTGTGATTTTACACTTACAGAAAACAACCAGATTTTTTTTCCTGTAATGGAAACAAGCCATCTATTTCATTGAGTAATATAATTATGTTCATTATACGGATATAAACAAGGGGCAAACATTACAACTCAATTCCTCTGTGTCAGAAATTTAATTTTCTGGGGGCCGGGCGCAGTGGCTAACGCCTGTAATCCCAGCACTCTGAGAGACCAAGGCAGGAGGATTGCTTGAGCTCAGGAGTTTGAGACCAGCCTGAGCAAGAGCGAGACCCCGTCTCTACTATAAACAGAAAGAAATTAGCCAAACATCTAACAATAGAAAAAATTAGCCAGGCACAGTGGTGTATGCCTGTAGTCCCAGCTACCCGGGAGGCTGAGGCTGGAGGATCGCTTGAGCTCAGGAGTTTGAGTTGCTGTGACCTAGGCTGACGCCATGGCACTCTAGCCCGGGCAACGGAGTGAGACTCTGTCTCAAAAAAAAAAAGAAATTTCATTTTCTCAGAATGATACTCATTCTTCCCAATAAATGCAATTAAACATTGATATTACAATTTAAATATTCTACCCAAATAGCTAAATCTTAGTGTAATGTCAACATAAAGTTTCAAGCAGCTCGATATGATTAATTAAAGGAGCACTTGATTTGGAATCAGACATGGGTTCCAATCCTGGCACACCACTCATTAGTAGTGTGGTCTTGGGCAAGTTATAACCTCTGAGCTTGTTCCTGCATCTGAAAAAAAAGGGTTCTCGATGGTGTTTTTGGAAGATTAAATAAAGAGTAATACAGATCAAAAGTGGTTAATACAGAATCTGGTTGTCAAAATATGCCTTCTTCTGCCTGGCACAGTGGTGTGCGCCTATAGTTCCAACTACTCCAGAGGGTAAGGCAGGAGGATCGCCTGAGGCCAGGAGTTTGAAACCAGCTTTGGCAACATAGGGAGACCCCCACCTCCAAAAACATAAAAATTAGTCAGGCATGGTGGTGCATGTCTGTAGTCCCAGCTACTACAGAAACTGAGGAGAAAGGATTGCTTAAGCCAGAAACTTGAGGTCAGCCTGGGCAACATGGTGAGACGCTGCCTCATAAAGAAATAAATAAATAAGCAAGCCCTCTTCTGCCTTTCTTTTCTAAGGGGTCAGACTAATGCCTTTTATAAGAACTTTTTTTTTTTTGAGACAGGGTCTTACTCTGTCACCCAGGCTAGAGCATAGTAGTATCATCATAGTTCATTGCAGCCTCAAACTCTTGGACTCAAGTGACCCGCCTGCCTCAGCTTCCAAGTAGCTGGGACTACAGGCACACGCCTGGCTAATTTTTCTGTTTTTTGGGAGTCTCACTGTGTTGCTCAGGCTGGTCCCAAACTCCTGACCTCAAGCAATCCTCCCACCTCAGCCTCCCAAAGTGCTAAGATTACAGACATGAGTCACCACACCTGGCCTTTGTAAGGCTTAAAAAAAAAAAAAAAATCAAATGAATGCTGATATAAATCATAAAGTTATATTTTATTTGCCATGTTTGTGCAAAGTATTTTGTTTTTGCAAAGTACTTCAAGTGTTTTGTATTTGAGGCTCCTTTTCTTGAATCAGTTTCAAGATTTATTTTGATGCATATATCTACTATTGCTCATGGAATTATTTATTTTAGTGTATATTATTTCTGATGGAAATTTTCTTTCTTATAAAAAAAAAACACCACATGAAATCATGTTATGTTCTACCTGTGGCATCCTACATCTTCAGATAACTTTCTTTTTTTTTTTTTTTAAGACAGAGTCTCACTTTGTTGCCCGGGCTAGAGTGAGTGCCGTGGCGTCAGCCTAGCTCACAGCAACCTCAGACTCCTGGGCTCAAGCAATCCTACTGCCTCAGCCTCCCAAGTAGCTGGGACTACAGACATGCGCCACCATGCCCGGCTAATTTTTTTTTATATATATATTTTTAGCTGTCCAATTAATTTCTTTCTATTTTTTTGGTAGAAATGGGGTCTCGCTCTTGCTCAGGCTGGTCTCGAACTCCTGAGCTCAAACAATCCGCCCGCCTCGGCCTCCCAGAGTGCTAGGATTACAGGCGTGAGCCACCGCACCCGGCCAAAGATAACTTTCTTTTTAAAATCATTCAGGTTGTGTCTATGGAAATCATTTTCAAGTATCATGGAAAACAATGTTAGACAAGGGGGAAATATCAAAAATTTAGGTTATTCCAACCCATTGTAATGCATGTAAGAAATCAACTCCAGAGAATTCCAAATAGCAATACAACAAAGTACAAATTTTATTTTAATATAACTTTCAACTTTCTCTAAGAGGAGTCACTTTTTTCTGTAAAGCTGGATCATTGAGCCAGATGGAATGTGACCCTGAATATTGCTAACTGGATCCAAATGAAAAGAAAAACCATATTGGCTAACCCTCAGTATTGAAAGTGAACATTTTTTCCATCATACAAGACACATATTAATAAAATCATGGTAAATAAATTGAAGAGCTCTTCAAATTTTACCCTAGAGTTGAGGGCTTTATGAGGTATCTTTAGCTCCTCTTCAACTTTAGTCACACTTCAGATTTATCTGACGCTCTTTGATACAGTGCTCTTTAAAATGTCAAGGCTTTTGCGAAGTCCACCAAAACAGCTACTATATTTAATACTACAATTACTTTCTGGTACATTTTTCTTAAAAATTAATCATCACTCACTGCAGCATCTAGCTATTCCAAATTATACTGCTAAAGGTTTTTTTTGTTTGCTTCTCAAAAGGCATTTGAAGTGTTGCTGAGGTGAAAGGGTATACACTTCACATTATTTTTCCATATTCATTACAGCCTCTTGAGCTGATTAAGTGCCATGTACATTTTTAAATCAAAATTTATCACTGTCAATTCTTTTAACACTCCCTTTGCATCCTGAGCTCTTCCAAATGTCAAAGTTCTCTAATAATCGTAAAGTACATATTATCTGTGCTTTTTTCTGTTCTTTCACAACTTCACCCTCCAACTATTTGTACTTCAGACCCCTTCACCCATTAAAGCACTAACTCTTTAAGGTACTTAACCATATGGTTAACTTTCCGCATAATTTAACTTTTCCTTTGACAAATGTAAACCTCACTATAATTCCTTCAGCGTTCCCTCCTCTTCTAAATTCACTACATCAACACTGCCGCGAAAGAACGCATATATACATCCTTATTCTGAAGCCCAAATTAATCAGTTTAGCGACACTAAAAAAGAATTTAAATCCCAGATGCCTCGTTTCGGTACTCCGTTGAAGCTTTTTACTTGCTTTCCTCTCCTACCTGGCCAGCCTACCTCAACTGTCAGTGGTAAGGTCCCTTGCTGCCTCCAGGACAGGAGTGCAACTCACTACAGTGTATTTCTTTTACTCCCTATCATTCCCAGCATCTCCTTCCATTTCTGCGCATCTACCCCTTGGCGAACGCCTCCAACCCCAAAAGAATCCGTACCCAGGTACCCATGTCTCAAATTAGAATACCCCTCGCTGACATTGCTGGGGCTTTCTGTACGACTTTTAGAGAACACGCGAGGCTGAGCGTTTCTATCTGCTCCAACAGCACCCGCTCCCCACTGAGTTCGGTCTTCCCTCGCTCTTTCTCCGTGGAATGCCTACTTCGGGGCAACCCTTTGGCTCAGGGAAGCCCAAGCTCTGCCCCATGACCTCGCGAGCCTAGCACGCCACACAAGCTTAATTAGCCCCCTTCGTGGAGCTTGTGCTCTCGATGCCCCTCCGTCCCAGCTCTCTTTGCAACCTCTTTCAGCCCCCAGCCCCTGAGCCAGACCCCAGATTAGACGAACGCCCACTTGCTCTGGCTGCAGTGCGTCCCTGGCCCGGCCCCTTCCACACCGCTCAGCCCGGAGCAGTACGGCTCCTCACCTAGCTTCGATCGGGACTCCTCCAGTTTCTGGATCTGGTTCTCCAAGAAGAGCATCGCCACGGCGAAGGCCACCACTGCCAGCAGCTGCAACTTGGGCGGCATCATAATCCTGAGGAGCCCCATGAAACCCGCTGCTCGGGATCAAGACATACCGCGGGGGGCGGGGAGCGGGGCCCCGGAGGCGAGAGAGACGCCGGGAGGAGCCCACCGAGCCGGGAGAGAGGCAAGGAAAGGGAGCGCGACAGCGAGAGAACCACCGCAGCGACCCCCCTTCTCGCCTCTCCGGTCCCCCGCCCCCAGGCGCTAGCACCAACGCCGCCGGTGCCCTCTTCTCCTCAGCCGACTCTACAGCCGCCCCCTCCAAAAGCCCGCGCAGCAAACACAGCGCGAAGCGGCTGCCGGGCTTTCGCCTCCCTCTACTGCCTCAGTTCCCGACCCCCGCGCCCGCCTGCCTGCTTGCCTCCCTCTCTTCCTTCCTTCCCTCCCTCCTTTGCTCGCGGCCGCGCGCTCCTCCACCGGCGCTGCGGCTGCGGCTGCGCCGCCTTCAGCCCCGCCCCCGCCCATCCCCCTCCGCCACCACGCGCACGCATCCACGTACGCTGCTCGGCAACCAGAGGCTCCACCCCATCCCCCCGTTCGGTGGTGCTTATTGGACCGAAGAACCCCTGCTCTTCGTTCTCGGTTCGATTTACGGTTGGTTTCCTCTGCCAAGGGCTCTACCAAGACGGTATTCGATTGGGTAAACGTGGAGAAAAAGGCAGGGCAGAAACGGGCGAAGGCGGGGCTTCTCGGCTGCTTGACGGAATGTCGTGAATGAAAGAAAGGAGCACTGAACACCAAAGAAGTGGGGAGTTTAAGAAAATGCCTGATTTGGGTAATCGAAAGCACTCAGTGACTGTCTTTATATTTGATCACCTTTAAGCTTTCATATGCCCTTAGTTTATATCCGTCTCTGCAAAACAAAAGGTTTGATGGCAGCAGCCTTTAGCGGCCTGTTTTGGATCAGGCTCTGGAGTGGACGCCCCTAGCTAAGGGGTCCTCTAGGCAGCCAGAGACCTACAGAAAATGGAGGCGATGGCGGCTGGGCCCGGCCTATGGCTCGTTCCGGCGTTTGGGCTGCGTTTGCTGTTGGCGACTGTACTTCAAGCGGTGAGTGTAGATCACCTCCGCGGCTTCCCCAGGGCGAGTAGGAGGAGTGCAGCCGAGGAAAACGGAACATTCGGTCCTGTTTGTAAGCCGCATTTGAAAAGGGTGGGAGGACTGGGCTTCGTTAGTAACGGCTGCGGCTGGAGTGCAACGTGGCTTTAATTCCTCGGTTGATGCTTATTCTTCCCTGCCTTGGGGTTTCTAACAGCAGTGTTTTCCAGACTTCAGATTGTCTTGAATACTTGTTTTTTCTTACACAGCTCTAGCTAAAAACAATCAGTAAATCATACACAGGGCGGGGCAATAAAGATTGGCAAAGAGTGAAAGTGGTTTTTAAACGGGCGGAAATGCAAGGGAACTACTGTTCCTTGTGACGAGGCTCCCAGATCTTAGAGGAAAGTCTTCTAGTCTTTGGTCCAGGCGAACAATTCCTGTTGACATCTCTCTCTCGTTCTTCCTTTTTAACTGTTAGCCTCTTACCTCTCCTTGGCATTCGCTTACCGCTGTGTGCTCTTCAGTGTGATTTGTGGTTTTAAACAATGTTGTTGCAGTATAAGGAGCTTTTGTATTCCGAAGCATTATTTATTTATTTATTTATTTTGAGACAGAGTCTCACTCTTTTGCCCCGGCTAGAGTGCCGTGGCGTCAGCCTAGCTCACAGCAACCTCAAACTCCTGGGCTCAAGCAATCCTTCTGCCTCAGCCTCCCAAGTAGCTGGGACTACAGGCATGTGCCACCATGCCCGGCTAATTTTTTTCTGTATATATTTTTTTAGTTGTCCGATTAATTTCTTTCTATTTTTAGTAGAGACGGGGTCTCGCTCTTGCTCAGGCTGATCTCGAACTCCTGAGCTCAAACAATCCGCCCGCCTCGCCCTCCCAGAGTGCTAGGATTACAGGCGTGAGCCACCACGCCTGGCCCATAATTTATTTTTGAAATTGATTCTTTAATTGATGGCCGTCATTTGGCTTAAAATTGGGCAGTGTTTTTTATTTTTTCTCCATTAACAGAATAGATGAATTCTTAATCTTTGAATGAGAAAAGCCTAATTTTGACTTATTTTTCTATTCATTCATGAAACAGCTAGACGTTGGCCAGCTCCTCATAAGAAGTTTGCAATCCATGTTTTGCTATGTGAATAATAGAATTTTAGGCACTGTGTTGGGAGCTTTTACATTTCTTAATTCTTCAGGTATTCCCTACTGAGCCTGCTGAAAAGTTTTGTCTTAGAGAACTGGTTTAATTGATTTGTCCAAGATTTGAGGGAGTTAGGGACTATATGGCAGGCCTCTGTAAACACCTGCTTTTCTTTCCTCAGGGGGTTTGAAAACGTCCTGCCTGTTTGCTTTTGCTACCTTACCCAAAAGGTAGATTCTTTACTTCTTTAATTAACATTCCAATACTCTGTTATTCGGGTATTTGGTGCCTTAGAAATTACTGGAAGACTCCTCTCTAAACTTTTACTCTTTAAGTAATTTTTGTGCATATTAGGTCATAGGAGTTCACCATCACCACTATGGAAGAATAAATAGCATTTCAAGTTGTCTTCTGATCTCCCTATCTGACTTTCAGTTGTCTGTGGTTGTTTAACCACCTCAAAACTTAAAACAACAGTGATTTCTCATAATTCTGTGGGTTAGTAGAGTAGTTCCTCTGATTTCCTCTGGTTTCATTTATGCACTGTGTTGAGCTAGTAGGTCTGCTGAACTGTAAGTTCCAAGGGAACTGCCTTTCATAGTTGGTGCTGTCAGCTGGGGTGACTTGATTCTCCTCCATGTGACCTCTCATCCTCTAATAGACTAGATCAACTTCTTTTCCTGGCAGTCTCAGGGCAACACTCCAAAAGAACAAAACCTACAATGCCTCCTAAGGCTGTGCCTTGGAAATCACCTATATCATCTCTACCACATATTTGTCAAAGCAAGTCACAAGACCAATCTACATTTCAGGGATGGGGAAATAGAGTCCATCTATCTCTATGTGGGAAAAGTGACAGGTCACATTGCAAAGAAGTATGCATTATCAGGATAGGAATTTATGGTACATTAAATAATGTACCACAGTGGCCATCCATAAAATTTAAGCCTTAAACTTGGGTGTCATCTTTGACTCCTTCCTTTCCTTACATATCTCACATCCAGGCAATTACTGAATCTTATTGCTTTTACTTCCTAAATATCTGTCAGATCTCTCCACTAACTGTTAGTCCCTCATTCAGGCCAGAAACATCTTTCACCTTAGAAATAACAGCCTCTTGGTTTACCCTTTGAATTATCGCTGTCTATATTCAAAATTTAAATGGTTGGCTTTGCCGGCTTCCCAATTACCTAAGCCAGAAATTAGCCATTTTAAATCGTCTTTCCTTTCATTCTCTGAATTCAATTAGTTACTTGACCCTTAGAACTCTCTAAGGCAGTCCACTTAATTCTATTTCTTCAGGTAGTAACTTAAATTCAGGCCACTGTCTTTGCTTGCCTGGAATCTCACCACACCTTCCTTAATGGTGTACCCATCTCATTTTCTTCCTTTCTAATCCAATCTCTCCAGTATATCCAGAGTAATCTTTCTAAACCTTAAATTTGCCATGATTAAAACTCTTCAGTGGCTCCCTGTTGCTTTTAAGGTGAGGTCTCTCCTCCTCAACATTCCTTAACAAGGCACTTGTTTGTCCAGGCTTAGTTTCCCAACATTTGCCTCTACTGAGAGCGAAAAGGTAGAGGTGGAGAATTGGCATCACTTGTTTTAATATATTTCACACACTATGTTCTCATTCAGCAGGCCTTTGAACATGGTGTTCGCTTAGCTTATTAGTGATCCCAACTGGAGGTGTCTGTGAGAATTATGCGGGGAGGAGAAGTTAGAATACACATGCCTGGACTCTGCCTTAGATATGATTCAAAAATTTCCTGGTAATTGTACAACTCTTGCTAGTAAGTACAGACTAAAACCTTTTGAGGTCAGGAATCAACTTACGCATTCTTCTTTGTGACCCCCATAAGAAAAGAGCATACTAACTTACGCACAGTAAGCCATCAAATAAAACTGCTGGGTTATCAACCACAGGCACACACCATTCCACTTAAATATCCCCGTAGACAGCCATAATGCACAGCCCCTCTCTCTCAAACTCTGCCTATTAAGTTCATATTCTCGGTGTTGTATAACAGTGAAAACCACACTAAACGTTAGGGAAGTCTATTATCTAGTTTAACTTCTAATAGCTGACTGCAATCTAAGGCAAATCAATTTACTCTTGGCCTTAGTTTCTTTATTTCCTTCTTGTTTAGATAGAATACAAAGCTTAACCCACATTCCACTTCCAGACTTGCAAAGTCAGATGTAATTTCTCCCTTACATATTCTATCATCATACTTTATACAGTATTACACCGATCCACACAGTCTTAACTAATCATATCTGTGTGTGTGTCCGTCTGTGTCCACCCCTCCACTCTTCCTGCCCCTGTGCCAATTAGAATGTAGCCAAAGGGAATACAGGGACCATTTTTTTCCATAATTTTTTTATTGTACCTCATACGTATTTGTTCATTTAAATCCCTCTGAGGTATAAATGGCCTCCCAGTTCATTCATGTTGCTCCATGCTATCAGAGTCATCAGGATATCTGCAGTTTGTGTACAGCAGTGATAAATCCCACCCACTCCCAAAAATACAAAATGACTCAGGAAAGAGAAAGGGAGTCCTGGAGAATTCACCTTTAATGAACTATTTTAACTTCCCTAAGGTTTATTCTGTCTCTTCCATAATGACTAATGTTTTTAAGGAAAAAAAGCAACAAAAACCTTGAAAATGAAAAGGAATATGGAGAATTGTTGGAAAAACAGCAATAAGTTAGAAAAACTCCTGAATTTCACAGTCAGCCAAAGGAAATAAAAGATCAGAATAAGTAGTTGGCAGTAGTGAAAATTGGCCAAATCTTTGGAACCTGGCATGTGAATAAAAAGGGGATGAGAGAACAATTTCTTTACACCTTGAGATTGACATGCCACCAGGGATAGAGAATAAAACTCTCCTTTGGACTTAGCTCATATTTTGTTAATTCACACCTCTGAGTCCTTAGACTAGATAAGCTGAGTTTTTATGCCTATCTACACCTCTGAATAGCTATAATTTCAAGTTAATGGCAATGTGTAGTTATCAGCATTTCAATGGGGTAGCAACTGGGAGCATATAAAGTGATTTAATCTGAAAATATATTCTGAGTGTGCTTAAGCATTAGAAAAGTAATATTTTAGTATAGCCTAAGGGAGCTGTTTACAAAAGCTCCCCAAAGTGATACTTGATCCTTCGTTCAGATCATGTATGATATTTCCTCATTCAGAAAAGCACTGTACTGAAAAGCAGTATAGAATGATATTGTCTGTTATTGAGTCTGAGACACCCCTCCCCCACCGCTTTTCTTCACATGTTGGTATCTCACTGAGTCTTATAATGGATGGGTCACACAATTATCATCAGCGTTTTTCTTATTCTTAGAGGTGCATACAATAATGATGTGTCATGGATTCTGTAAAATATGGTAGTTAGTAACAGTGGTTAGGGGTTTTAAGGACAGGGTTAGAATCTTTTTTTTTCCAGCATATTATGGGGGTACAAATGTTAAGGTTACATAAATATATTGCCTTTCCCCACCCAAGTCAGACCTTCAAGTGTGTCCATCCTGCATATGGTGTGCACCGCACCCATTAGGTATGAATATACCCATCCCCTCCTCCCCCCTCCCACCTGTCTGACACCTGACGAATGTTACTATATGTGCACGTAAGTATTGATCAGTTCATACCATTTGATGGTAAGTACATGTGGTGCTTGTTTTTCCATTCTGTGATACTTCACGTAGTAGAATGGGCTCCAGTTCTATCCAGGGTAATACAAAAGTTGCTAGATCACCATTGTTTTTTGTGGCTGAGTAGAACTACATGGTATACATATACCACATTTTATTGATCCACTCATGTATTGATGGGCCCTTGTGTTGTTTTCA